AGCCGTACAGCGCAAAGTACCAGCGGGACCACACCCGCTCTTTCGCCGCACTACCGACGAAGCGTGGCGCAGTTACGCGCCAGGCTCCACACCAGCGAACAGATTGGCCCATGCCGCCTTTGATAATCCAGTGAGCTGAAATGACCATTAATATAAAACATTAATCTTGGCGGCGAGACTTGGGAAACTCCAATCTCACGGCGCACCGGGCGTTTTTCGAGCAATAAATACCTCCCAGGTGTTCTAATGTACGGCCCTCGCTGCGCTTAAAGGCACCTCTAATGATTCAATGAATTCGTGGATCGAATGTAAGCTCACGTCCCACTGCCATCACGACGGTTGCCCAGGTACCACCGAATGTGCGTACTTGCGACCGTGTATCATTCAACACGTTTTATCACTAAACTTCAGTTTGTTATCAGCACAACAACATGTTGAGCACAGCTCAAAATTCTGCACAACTTAAAACTCATTTTAGCGCGTCACAGGCACGCAAAGTGGCTCAAAATAGCATAGCATGCTTTCAATTTCCACTTATTTTCTCTCACTTATTTTCACTTGCCTATATCAACTCATAAACGTTGGTAATATTTTCATGCATGCTAATGCACGTAAGAATTCGATGAAAGGAAGTCACGTGCCCTGGTGCTGCCCCTCTCCGTCATTGCGCCACTGCAACTAAAAGTATGCATCTCGATAACCACGAGGTTCGCTGCCATGTTAGAGGAGCAGCACCACCATCGCCATGCGTCGCGAAAACCCTCTGTTATGAGCCCAACGAACACCTTATAAGTTTTATTCAATTTGAAACGGTTGCCAAAGCGATGCTTTTCACAAATATCTGATATTGGAGTTGGCTCACAACTGTCTCATAAAAGCCTTTCACCGGTGGTGAGCTTAAGATGTCATCAAGATAAACACAACGGGACCACCAGGGACATTTTCCATTGTCACGTGATTAGTTCTGCGAATGGATGGGCACAGCCCGTCGCTCCATTAATCAGTTACGAGAAAAACCTTTCTTAGTAACGGAGTAACGGTCCCGTTACGTAAGAGATGCAACGGACCGAGCAACTTCCATTAACTTCGTGGCCTGTTGCGTCGCTGTAGTTAAGCTTGTCGCCATATTATCTCATTGCTCGCTTACTTTTGCTTTCGAGACATGGATATAAGGGAGTAGTGATACCGATGAAAGGAAAATAGGACCCTTCGTTGACGAGTTACGTGCGTCTTACTTCAACAAACAGCTAGGTATGACCTGTGCTTATTTGCTTGCCTCGCTAAGCGACGGAGCCAGCTCCTTAAAATGGCATGAAGATGCCTATTGGGTCATACGGGCTACTTGCGTTTGCTATTTATGAATAGATTCAACGGCGTTCATAGGATGCCTTGGACGATTCAACCTCTAGCTGCCGTGATACCTGACACCTGGGACACGGGTGCGATGTGCTGACTACCAGGGACATATGTGCGCCATGGAAAGCAAACTTCACCTGTAAGATAGCTCTTCGTGCAGCAACATGGGATAGATCGTCCACGACCTTCAACGACCTTGACGGAAGCGGTCGGTTACCACTCGCCCATTCCCCTCCCTCTTTATGTGCGTTTGCGGCTTGGAGATGGTTGCTGCAAAGGTCTGAAAAACTCCAACTTTGTTTATTCCCAGAAACAGCCGTAAGCTCATGCAAATAGCTTTTATTCGAACTTGAGTTAAACGGCACCACAAAGCTTACCGATTTCATGACACAAAGTCATGCGTAGAAAATGATCAGATACACCAAAACAGTAAGTTAAGTGATCTAGAGGCATCACTTAAGACATTCCGTTGTTTATCACGAGTTTAAGTTTATTATCAGCGACTGCCGAACTTCCTAATCTTGCTCTCCAAATTTCCTCTATGGCTTTATAGTTTTGTTGCGCGTTCTTAAGCCTTCTAGTAAACGGTCCTTGCTACCACTGCAAATGTTAGATCTTCCCCATTTGCTTGTTCTCCCGCCGTCGGTGCTGCTCGCTCCGCTCAACAATAGACGCATTATACAAGCCCGTTGATCACGACCTCTGCAAACTATTGTTTTTCTCCTTTATAAAATTTGACCCGAGCCTTTTGAGTGACTGGATTTGTGGGATCAGAGCTCAAGCTAGTCCACTATTGCCGTCCCTGGACCTCCATGCCCCAGCGGTCCATCTGGAGGCCTTCTGACATGATTTGGCGGATGTCCAATCACTGATGGATACCATTGTCGCTGGTCAATCATCCAACTTGACGTCATTTGTTCTCATAAATGCAAAGCGATCGTTATAAAAAACTTGTGATTTTCAGTTTGCAATAGATGGAGAGGTTACCTCACCTTCAAGGCGCGTTAAATTTCTTTGTATTATGGTAGACTTGATTCTTTCGCGTGGGAACCATATCGTCAAAATCGTTTACAGATGCGATGACATTCGTGTCATCTCATATATGATCTCAGACACTACTTTACGTCTGATATTCTCAAAATTATTATTGAGACCTACCTTCTCTCACAAATATCATACTGTTTATGCGTATGGGGTGACGTGGTCAAGTGCAATGTGTAAGGCTCCCATTCGCAGATACCGTGTTCATGTCTCATAACCACTACCATTCAAGGAGTACATTCTGAATCTCGTGAGGCAGCGTAGGAAAACTGTTAACAGCGGTGATAACGAGACATACCACCGGATCAATACACAGGTGAAACGAACCATGCGAAGGGACGCGTGTGACTCATGCCGAGCGGGTGACCAGCCGCCTGTCTCTGCGCTGTACCGCCAGCTGCAGCCAGCAATAGTTCCCAAACACGGACCACCCACGCAACCCGAAAACCTGGCACCGGACCAGCTGAATTCCTGCATCACTTAATGGGAACAGAGATGGAGAGACACGGTCATCCCTCAGTTTCTCCGGTCCAGTCGGGAAGAACTGAAAGTGTTTCTTTCACGCGCCAACAGGGAGGCTCAACCCTGTAACTCTGCAAGAGCTGCGACAGATATTATTATATATGTTGAACGAAGACCATGGCGTGGAGGGCGATATTCGTGCCAAAATTTTAAGGCTTCGTTTGTGCGACATCGAAGTTATCTTGCCTCAGATCACACTAGTTTTTTACAGAAGCGGTAACCTTCAGCAGGAAGCTTGCCATAGTTGTGTGCACCCGTTTGCAAGGACGATCCATCTAAAGCTTCACAATTTCTGTCAGTTACCAACGTCCCAGCCTATTGTAAAATAGGCGAGAAACTGGCTCATCATCAGCTCACCTCATAGCTCACACACCATCATGTTTTCAGTTCTGACCACGCGGCTTCATAGGAAATCACTCAATTTGCACGGCGATTTCATCGACTTCATCGGCGCTCTGATGAGGTGTTGCGGGGCGCGGACCGATCAGAGGTTGACTTTGATCGACTTGGGTCGCTGTTTTGACAAAGTGCACCGCTCGATATTAATAGCGAAAGCTGCGACAGCTCCAAACATCTACAGACTGGATCCAAAGTTTCCTGTAGAGTCTCGCACAGCGTGTGAGGGTGCATCTGACGCTGTCAAAACCGCAGAGCATCACCATTGGCACATTCCGATGGCCTTGTCTCGGGCCATTGCTGTACAACATCCTAAGTAACGACATCACGTGCTTCATCACGGCCTACCTAAACGGCTTGCGTGTCACTACAGTCTGGTTCCCTGGCGAGGCACAGCTGGCCATTTACAGGCTCTCACGTCAGATGAGCGCAGATGTAGCTGTCACTACATTCTGGTTCCCTGGCGAGGCACAGCTGGGTGTCTTTGTGGGTCCCATGTACCTGCAGTTTGTTTGCACACATCTTCGTGTGTGTACGCGGAGTTTGGCACGTTCTTTTTTTTGGCAATTGAGAACATTTATTGGATTCATCGTTGTTCTTTGTACGTGTTTCAAACTGTGGTGTTCTATAGTATCCTGTTTTACAGCTCAGTATCCTATAGTATCGTATTTTAAAGTATATTTGGAGTATCGCATTTTTAGTACTTTTGTAATCTGCTGTAACCAGCACGTGTTGTAACCAACCAAAGTTAGCGAACGTTGTAACGAGCAGAGTACCTGAAAAGCAGGCTGATGGATGGATTTCGAGCTAGCAAATACAAATACAACTACAAAGCTAGCCACAACATTTTCTAAGTGCATACGTCTAAAGTTATAGGGCCTGCTCTTGATGTATTCTCTATGTTCACCTTGTGCCATCTGCTTGCTCTTTTGCTGCACTAGCTCAGTGTTTGATCTGTAACATGTGCATCAATCCATCCGATACCTGCCAGAGTTCTGATGGCTTATTTAGGCCGCACATTGTAATGGTGCGGTGAGCAAAGACATTCCATGAATAATCCACAAGTTTACCCTCCCGGTTGGGACTTAGAGGTTAACCGCAGTGCCATCTCTCCTCCTTCTCAAAACAAAGTTAAATCTTTCGCCAGGCTTAATTCTAATTACACAGTCATGAAATATATACAAGAAAAGCCGATTATTCAACACGCCAAATCAATGTTGACAGCACTTCGGCTTGTGGAGGGGGGGGGGGGGGGCGTTTCTCACGTGGCTCATGCCACGTGGCACCGCTGCCGTCCTCGCTTCTGTAGTCGGCTCAGGCTCGACCTGTCGTCCGCCAGCTGGCAGCGCCCGTGGACCTGCTCCGAACACACATGGCTGGGAGAGCCGCTCGACGCACTGGAGCACTCAACCGGCAGCCATTCACCAGGTAATGACCGTTCGGGGCCGGCCGCCGCAGTCGACAGTTCCCCTACTTGTGTGTTTGTATGGTTCGAAAACGCGCCGCGTTCTGAACGCGGGCGGCGGTAGGATGCGCGGCGCACATTCAGATGGTGAACGCGCTCTGTCCGCGCCGATGAACTTTGCTACATGCCCACACTCACATTTGGAAGGCTTGGATGTTTATGAGAGTGGCTGGTAGCTTTTGCACACAGCGATGTAGAGTGCAAATGAAAACACTACTCGCACAATTGACTCACTGTATATTTGTCATCTCATTGTTGTCCAGAGTTTACAAGCACTTCACGATAGTTGCGGTCGCCAATACGCCCGGAAGAAATGACCGATCATTTTGATTACGGAGCGCGAAACTGGCGGGATGCTCACGAGAAACAAATAGACGAACACACGCACGAGACAATCCAAGCTGAGAATGCAAGTTCGAAGCTCCTCTCCTGCGTAAGCCAACCAAGCAAGGGTGCTGAACACGCAAGAGGAAGAGTGCAGAGTATGCTTAAACGGCTACATGTCGGAAAGGTGCTACGCTGTACACTGGCACTAAGCGCCATTTGTAACGATATGTCAGGTATTTCGTATTGACTGCTGTTGCTAGAGCACTTTCTTCCTTTACTTCCGTGCGTCCGTGCCATCATTCATTCGCAGATCTCACACCAAAAGCCATCGCCAGCACACGGACCATCAACCACGAAACAGTCCAGGTTGCGTTCGAACGGCTTTAATCTTGAACGCTCCCCTGGAGAGACAACCTTGACACAAGACACGCCATGAACTGACTCGTGGACCCGAAACAGTATGCAACTTGTCATCTCGTAATTAAATATTAATCCATCGCTACCATAACTTACACTGAGTAACGCAATCGGAAAGCAGCATCTTGTGCTCGTTTAAGACAGAAGCGTTTAACGCGGTGATTGGACGTAAAACACGAGCTTTACAAGAATGAACTTCAACACTGAGCACAAGTCGATCCGGATGGCGGCCAAATGTCAGATTTTGCAGCCCAGCGTTCAGGAATGTCCCATCCAACGAAGAGCAACAGCTGTTAGATAATTTCCACTACGGCAAATACCGTCCCTTTGTGTTGGCGGCTACAGCGCATGCACGTCAGCAGACGAGCCAGCCGTGAAATAAGGCTCCTACATATTTGAACAAACACACTTTCCAGGTTTCACGAATAAAAATAGCTGAGCTTTATCGAAAACCACTCGCCGTTCCTTTTCGGTAGCGAGTTTTCTCCAATGACAGTGCCTGGCAACCCATACCAAAGCCAATACAAGCACGATGCAGCAGCGATGATGCTAGGATTTCATGAGGCTTGGGATTTCATTTTGGGATTTCACGAGGCTTTTCGCGATGGACTCTTCTTGACGATATTTTCTGTTGTTTATGTCCCGGGTTAAAACTATACCTGCCTGCCTACGGCTACCTCACAGTGAAAGCCACGGGGACGGACTTAAACGTGAACACATCGCACATCACTTTCGTCATCATGACGCCTTTCCGTTTGTTGCGGCGTCCAGAAGGCGCTGCATATCGCCAACAACGTTCCCAACGGCAGGCAATGAGGGCGACACGACACACCGACAGTTCCACTCAGCCCCCCTGACCAATGCCGTCACACATCCGACCGACATAAACACGATGATACACTCACTGGCAGTTGCCACAGTCTGTACCCACGCGCAACCGGACTTAGCGCACGCTCCCGACAACGTCACAGATATCCACCGATGTCGCACCTCTCCGCTGCCGTCGCCCATCTCCAGTGACGTCGCACCTGCCCGCTGACGTCACAGGCAGCTGGCGCCCGGGGCGGCGGCTCAGTTGATGACGCCGATGACGCAGCAGGCGAGCCGGGCGCCGGCGTGGCCGGTGGTCTTGCTGTCGCTCTCGTTGCCGAGACCGAGGTCGTCCTCGCCGGCGTGGATCACGATCGCCCGGCCGAGGATGTTGGCGTCGCCGGCGAACTGACGGCGCAACGGCGTGACGTCACAACAGGAAACGGTCCACAGCAGTGTGACGTCACACACGAGAGGCAAGCGACACGTGACGTGGTGGCGTGAGACGTGCGAATGGAGCGTTGTGCGAGAGCAGTGTTCACGGTCCGCCTGGGCCACGGAAGCTTCAGGCGGTGGGTGAACATGGACACCGCATCGTAAAAACGCAGGGACCGCATCCGGGGACGTAAGCCTGCGGCCGCAGCTCACCACTTTACTGCCGTGTTTCCAAGCCATGTGCATTCGCCCGCACTTTCCATACGTCCAAAATTGGCGTGCATTTCGCCGGGCGCGCCTGTGTGTGTCCGTGTGCACAAGATGGAGACACTTCCCAAAAACTCATGGTTTCAATGGATTTTTTCCTAGAATGTTTGCACCCGGGCATCCAAAAACGAGGGCATCAGGACGAAAGGAAGCGCAGTGTAAACGCTGGCGCGTGATTGCGCACGTGCGCGGATAGAGCGCGTCTCCAGGCGGGCGAATCCGCCCGAGTCATCAGACTAGGAAGGTGTCGGGCGACGATGTCGCTGTACGATGCCGACACCGCTGGCCGACACCCCACAGCGTGACGCGCCAATGTTTGAAGGCTAGGACAGCGTATCAGCCATCAGCGACCATCACGACGCGGTGACGCCCCGAATACCGGACGCAGCTATAGACCACGCCAGAACGTTGCAGGTTGGAGCTCCGAAACAATTCGCTACCGCCATTCCGCAAACCTCTGGAGCGCCTTCGGCCGAAAACAAGGCATACCAGGCAGGTGGGATGTCTGCGCCAGCCTTACAGCGTCATGGTTGCCAGAGGATGTGTGAGAAGTGCTGTTTGGACAGGTGCTGGCGGGAGAGTGCCAACCCAGCTGTGTAAAGCTTTTGTAACCACTCCTCAAAACTTTGTCTCTTGAGACGACATTGGCAGAGGCCCTTCACAAAACGTGGAAGACGAAGTGTCGTTGAGATGGCCCAGTCACGTGGCGTTGCAGCAGGTCATAAATGTCTCTCTGGCACTCGGACCCTCCGTCTTCCATTCCCACTCGGACCCCTCCGTCTTCCATTCCCACTCGGACCCCTCCGTCTTCCATTCCCACGCAGCCGTGACCAAGTGGCGCCTGCTCTCGCATTTAAGCCGTTTCAAAGCCTCCCGCATCTTGAGTGTTATGGCGGGGATGACCCCCAGGCTGGCCAGCTGGGACGCGGCACAGGGACGGCAGCTGCGCAGGTCAGCAGGTCAGCGGCCGCCGCGGGGCGAGGTCACGCGACCCCCACGGCGCCTGCCGCGGGCTGTGGTCACGTGGAGTGACGAAGCTCACGGCCAAACGGGAGCGGCCGTGGAGTGTATTCGTGCCACTGGCGGGTACACAGCGCAGTGTACCGTGCCATTTAAGAAATAGTTCCAACTGTGGTTCGAGCGTCTTCAGTTGAACGCACTCTCCCGCGAGGATTCCTACAGCTGAGTGGCGTGAGGCAGCCGTCAATTTGCGTGACAGCTCAGCAGAATGGAAAAGCATAGAGTTTACCATTTCTCTAACTACAGTGTGAAAGGATAACCTGGACTTTCCTCTAGGCTGGGGCCCTTTGAACTATCACGTGCCGCGCCACAAATGAGGCCTGGCCACAATCAATAGCCGCCAGGTCTTTTAACACGCATCCCGCGTGTCTTATCTTATCACTCCGCATCACACGCGAACCGGACCACACGGCACGGCCGCGCGAGACGTGCCCCCTGTGACCCAGAAAGCTCGCAGTGACGCACAGGTCTGACGGAGTGGGGCTAACACAACCGTCGGGCTTGCATTAGGCGACCATCGCAGACCACTGTCCTACCACCCGTAAAAAGTAGAAACCGCTCCACTGTCCACAGGCCAGGACAGTGGTGTCAACAAAAGCCCATCAAGGTCTGAGTTTTCTGGGACGCTTCTTACCGGACGGCGGATAACCAAGGACGTCTGGAACACACGCATCAATAAGAGCGTGATCCGAAGACGAGGAGAACGGGCCTAACAGATGCCCGAGGCTGTGTCCGTAACCTCCATTAGCGGTGTGCGTGTTATTAACCTTTGTTCTAGTGGCCCTGGTGGTTAGCAATGAGGAAGAAAATCGGTGAGTTCAGCAGGCGACTCAACCGGTGCCCAGAACTCTCTTTGACACCTGCGTGAGTGTTGTCCCGCTCTCGCTCTCGCTCTCGCTCTCACTCCCACTCATGCTCACACTCTATTTCGACATCTAAGGGTGACATGTGTAATGGACATTCGATATATTGTCTGCTTGGGCTGAGCCATCGGCTTTGCTGTGATCATAACCGGGGTAATGACCTCTCGCCTTGATCACTGGTGATCTCGCATATTGACCTTGACTGACAAAACTCACCTTGACCCTGTGAACTCTGAAAGGAGAGGTGACCTCTCCTTTGACAACGACTGCTGACCCCTCGGTTTGACCCTGACTGACGCCTCACCTTGATGACGCTGTCCTTGATGTTGACGTTAGCCAGCTGGCTCGAGTCAGCCACGATGTTACCCAGGTCACCCACATGACGCTCAGAGGCGTCCGGAGCTCCGTGCGTCTTGGCTGAAACACGCAGACAGCACAGGTCACCTTCGAAACACACGACCAGCATAGGTCAGCTCCGGAACACACGGCCAGCACAGGTCAGCTCCGGAACACACGGCCAGCACAGGTCAGCTCCGGAACACACGGCCAGCACAGGTCAACTCCGGAACACACGGCCAGCACAGGTCAGCTCCGGAACACACGGCCAGCACAGGCCAGTTCTGGAGCACATAACCAGCACAGGTCACCTCCGGAACACACGGCCAGCACAGGTCAGCTCCGGAACACACGGCCAGCACAGGCCAGTTCTGGAGCACACAACCAGCACAGGTCATCTCCGGAACACACGGCCAGCACAGGTCAGCTCCGGAACACACGGCCAGCACAGGCCAGTTCTGGAGCACACAACCAGCACAGGTCATCTCCGGAACACACGGCCAGCATAGGTCGGCTCCGAAGGCATGAGCCAGTCTGCTTTTCATGACATGAATTGTCAGGATCCAGCCCGGTCCAATTCAGCAATTTCAATATCCATTCTCTCGCAAATCAGCCTTTTTCGAAAATCATAATTTGATTCAATGCGAACCACCGATGCAAAATATTTCCCACATATGATTACACTACACTGACATACTTCTCCCAGTGTATCAAATTTCAAGTGTTATGGATGTGGCCGCGTTCGTCTTTAAGTTTATAAAACACATTCTGGAAGTGTAACTTCTTCAGCATGCACCAAGTTGTTCATGTTAGCAAAACTTAAGTCCAGTTCAATCCTTACGCATTTCGTTTGGGAATGTCCCTATCCAATTCGAACCCAAAATTTACCCCCAAATTAAAAAATCCACAAATCAACCCCAAACCTCTGACCGATCCGTGAGGACCTCTTAAGGTTGGATCAATTCTTTTAGCCCGGGGCGCCGGTCCGGGTCGATATTTTTATTTAAAATAATTCTGTTCTGATGCTTGTCTGTGCACTAGAAACACAAATCCATGTTTTCTGCCATGTTGGTATATCCGCTTGAAACGAAAGTACACAATGAACGTATTAGTGTATTGACTAGGACCGGCTGGTGCCAAGGTGAGGCCATGGCGCCGTGCCCGTACCGGCCCCAGCCCAAACGTCTGGGTGCCAGCTCCGACCGGTGACGCTTCGCCGCCACCAGCTGGAAAATGTTTTGCAAGGTGCTCAAAGCAGGCAAACATTCCCAGCTGCCAGCATCTAGCCGCATGCGGTCTGGATTCTGGTACCGATAGCCGGATTCTGGTACAGGCCGTGCTTATTTAGTACCAAATGCTACGCCACCACGGACGCCGAGCCATTGTGGCTGTTTCGAGACAAGTTAGGGATATAGTTCATTCATTCGGCGGTATAGCGGTCAAAAAGCCATTCGGTGGCTGTATGAACAACGTATGCCATGCAGGTATTACCACATGGGAATGGCGGGATGACGTTGCACACTGTGGTAGAAAGTCATAACGGCAGAAGTTCTGCCAAAATTTTCAGACAACCCAGAGTTCATATCGCAATTGAGTGCATCCTAACAAACGCCTGCTTCGCGTGCCGATCGGCAGGCTGAAAGGAACGGGGCCTGGTAGGAGTGCCCCGGCGCACCCAGCCCCCGCCCCCTCCCCTTCTCTTCCGACCTTGCTGCACTGGCGGACATACGAGCCGCTCCTGACGGCACTCTGACTCAGCCCCGGCGCACCCACCTCCCCGTCTCCGGCCTCGCTGTACCGGAGAAGCCACACCTCTGACCCTCCCCCCCCCCCCAACGGCATGCCCCGCCCACTCCCCTCTGCCGACGGCCTGTGCACCGGAGGAGCTGGCGCCAGCGGTCGGCCGGAGCGGCATGCGGCGTCGTCGGGCGCCACTCACCGAACGGGTTGAAGTGTCCCTTGGCGGCGCGGCATCCGTCATCAGTGCTGCCCACCTGGTGCACGTGGAAACCGTGCTTGCCAGCACTAAGACCTGCAACAGCCACAAGACCAGTGTAATGCAGGGCCCAGGGGTGATGGCATGCGACCAGAATTGAGGATGCAACAATCCTCCGTCATGCCGGAAGTTCAGGGCCCGGCATGATGGGGGCCGCTGGTGATTCTGGAAGAATTTCTCCGAATGCATGGAGAACAGAGGACGGTTCTATATATGAGGACGCGGAGCAGCTCTCTCAAAATGCCTCTGTCGGACCGGATACACGCGCGGCAACCACACGAAAGAAAACACCACAGATGGCGCCACAGGCCAACGCGACGCCAGCAGATATGACGTCACGGAGCCCGGCAGTTTCCAGCAGCGATCAATTCGTTAGCGCCGGACGCTTGGCGACAGACAACCCTTCCGGACGGTGTCCACGGCGGCCGATTGGCCCGCGCAGAGGCCAGTCATTCGTAAGCGCCGCTGAGAACTTCACACTTCGTTAGTGACTTGAACGAGCTACTTGGAGTCAGGAGGGACCTGCAAGACTGGGCCTCGAGAGTCTCGTGGGGCGACAGTGATCACTGTGATCAATGGTTCCCCGCTGTGGCGTGATGGATGAGTTAATGTGCCCCACGGTCACAGAATCGGTCGTTATACGTTGATTCCCCCGCTGCTACGACAATTTCTCCTCGGCGGGCGCCGTGCCCTCGCCAAATTCACACACTGGCGAATGCCTTCTACCTCCTCACGGCCAATTTTGCGGCTAGTACGGTTAGAAGTGAAGGAAGGTCGGGACAGCTGCGATAAGGGAGATCGGTAGCGGTGACAGGGAAGGAAGGAAGGGACAGGGAAGGAATGGTGACAAGAGGAGGGGTGGTGGCAGAAGGGCACGCAAGCATGAGCGTACGAAAAAGCGACACAGCGACACAGATTGTTGAAAAGAAAAGCACCACCTGACCACAAGGTATGATCCCCGATCTTAAGCTCGTGATTCATTTAAATACAAGAACGCCTTAAGAGATGTCAACTGAAACCACGCCCAGAAAGACACGGACAGGCACAAAAGGCGGCCCCGGGAAGGGAGAGACAAGTGGCATACGGTGGAGTCTGGAGAATACAGTGCGGCCAACGGAAAAAGGTGGAGCGGTATCCGGGCCGGTGGTGTAGGGAAGCACACGGCAGTGGGCACCGACAGCCTGCCCCCGTCGCCAGTCTAGACGACGTCCGTACCGGAGACGGCGCCGGTGACCATGATGCTGTCGTCCATCCGCTGGAAGGTGATTGTGCCGCTGACGCTGTTACCCGCGCCTGCCTCCTGCAGCACGCACTGCGCCTTCGACGGGATCATCGTGGGTACGTCCTGCCGACAGAGGGGTCACACGGTCAAATTGCGTCGCAAAGGTCGACACTGGTCGCAGTTACGGAGGCCAAACCTGACAACGGACGGAGAGCGTGGTGCGGGGAGGGGGAGGGAGGGAAAATCAGCCGAGCTCCACATGTCAAGTCTTTTCTTTCACCTCAGTTAACCCAACGACAAAAAACGACGGCAGAGAACTCCCCGATGACCGTCTTAAACCAGCCCTAATCTTAACAAAAATACTCATCTGAAAACTTCTGCTGACCACACGGCCCACCCCTGCACCATCAGTAGCGATGAAAGCTGAGGTACGGGAGCACGGGCAGGGAGAGCAACCGCCGCACACGCTTTGGATCATTTGATTTTAACTCCATGGTGTGACATGAACCAGGCATGAACGGCAACTGCTTCGATCATCTAAGGACACCCGACGCCGCCGCTGGCACTGCACCCAAGATGCTGAGCAGCACATATTACAGCCCAGCAAGCTAATCCCTGCCTCAATATCCTAACACCAGGCTTTATGTCTTCAAGAGCGTATTCAAGAGGTTTATCAAAAGGTCAGGCCCGCGCGGTACACGCGGCCACATTATCGAGGTGCCGACGGCCGCTGACTGTATCGCAAGAGCTCTACAGCTCTACAGCGGACGGATAAAGTTGATTGGGAGCCCGTAAAACTGTCAGACAGGCGGACGCCGGTGTCAGCGGCTGGACATTCGGTGGCGGGAAGGCCTTTGCAATGCCGACGCGGCTATCAGCAATGACAGGTCGGTCACATCGGATACACCGTAATCAAACACCTTGTTGAAATAAACCTGGATTTAGGTAAATTGCACTCATTTACCACCAAAAATTGCCAAAGGGAAAACATTGGACAACAGCATTGCTCTGAGTTATCTGCTTCCGTGTCATGTAACAGCTGTTTCCTTTTCGTTTGATCAATGCCAACCGCATGCATAATGTAGTTCAGCCAGTCAGCGTTGCTTGTCCAGTTGGAACTGTCAGGGTTCTGTCATCATCCTTACAGGCGTGACAGGTGATGTGGCTGAACACCCGTCAACGAACACCCGGAAATTTACTTCCGAACTTTTCCAGTCGCCTTTCATCGCAACAATGCCAGTAAACTGCGGGCCTGGACGGTCGTCCTGAGTGCAGGACATACAGTCCGGCGGAGAATCGCCCTCACACAATCCGACGCACGCGTGTACCGTCTACACACGGTCCGGTGCACACGTATATCCTCTACACACACGGTCCGGTGCACGCACACGTCCTCCACTGCGCCGCCAAGAGCGGCTGTGGGTCAAGACATGGATGACTGAGTGGCACGTGACGACGGCGGATGCCAGCGCTGTGAGCGCTCTTCCGTCTCGCGCAGCTGGACGGACGCGATGGAGTGGAGCAACAGCAGTCATTACTCCGCCTGAAGCGGGGGCAGGGGAGGGGACGGGGGACTACCAGGAACGCTTCAGCGTCGCGGAAAGGACGAGTCCGTGGCGAAGTCGGCGCGACGCAGCCGCGGCGACTGCCGGTCGGGCGACGCCTCTGCCGCCGCAGCCGCGCAAGTCGGCCCCTGATCAGCCCTCCGCGGCGAAGAACCGCCGAGTCCGACGTGCCTAGCACGTAATATTCTTGCGTCAAGTCTGCACCACTGACACTCGCAGGGCCGCCGCGCCACATATGCCACGAGCACGAGCAGCGCGCCGCGCGCGGTCCAACCGGGGTGGGGACGGACTCGGGCGCTTTGCGACACAGGCGTGGCGGTAACCACGGTGGTGTCAGTGGGAAGCGGTCGCGAAACAGTTTACGTAAACAGGTCAAACAGATATTGGGCCGACCGTCGGCGGCGCGTGCGTCTGACATGCGTGGATTCTCGAAGATTGTATCGCGCATTGGGTACTGGTATTAGTGAAGTCTACCACGGAAATACGTGATTAGGAAATACATTCATAGCGTTTCGCTAGGCTCACGTGAACTTAACCTAAGGAATTTGTATGAAATATTTAAAGCGCACAGGCCATTGCACATTTGTTTTAAAGAGTGTACTAACGCAAAAGCAATACGCATTTTGGCCCTCGCTATTATATACTATAAGTATATACTTTAAGTATAGCTCGGCTCGCTGAAGCTGAAGCTCGACGCCTCATGCTAAATTTTGTGGCTAATAGCGACCCAATAAGGTACTGCACATGAGTGCCCGATTTCATTTAAGACGTCCGTGACTTTAAGGGGTTTTGTGCACTGACATTTTGACGACTTCTTGGATTGTATTGTTCCGTCTTTATTAAAAGTATTGGGTTCACGTGAGACCTGAATTCGAAACGTGAACGCAGGCAAGGAGCAAGTATGGCCAGGTCGAGAATAAACAAATATTACCAATGAGGGCGCAGTTCGAACTCAGCAGCGGTGATGGCACAGACGTCCGCCCTCTTGGTCATGGGACAGGGCAGAGTCGATAGTCAATACGGCGGAGTCAATACGGCAAGTCGCTCGCAAATCTCCAGCTAAATATCTTTCGCGGGACTCGATCAAGGACTCCACGCTCGCAGGTCGAATCGCCCCATCCCACTACCCCAGTTTCGAAGTGTTGGATCAAAAATCGTCAAATCATCATCCAAAACTGATCGGAAGGCATCAATTAAAGCCGTTTGCTGTACTATTGGCTTTATTTCTAAGCTATTCCGCAACTGGTTCATGGACGGAGCGCTGCACGGGGGGGGGGGGGGGAGGGGACAAGTCGGTCGGTGGTAGGTATTAATGAAAACACGCAAGAAGCAATCAAACTTTGGACGCACGCAGGCGTTCCCTGCCGGGAGAGGTGGTCGAGTTCCGTTATAAATCGATGCCTGTTCTGTAATTGTTGACGCGGCGCGTACGTGCTCTGTAATTGAGGCACGCCTTCCGCAATCGTCAACTCAGGTGGCGGAGATCGCTGCGTATAATACTGCGGGGGTCGGCCTCAACTAATAAAATGGTCCAATCAGAATCCACCCAAAGCCCGTTTCGACAATGGGGCTTAACAGGACAGCTGAAAGCTGGAGGCCGATCGAGTTCGACGTGAGGAATCTAGGTGTGCTCTTTGTCATCGGGAACCACTAGTTAAGGCACTTTAATCGTCGAATGAGTCGTACTTTGTGCTCCCATTTTACCGCACAAAGAAGACTCGTAGTCAGGGACGCGAGGACTAAAGAGCCAGGAGGGCTGAGCTTCCACGTTTCTGGCAATCCAACACTGGTCGCATGAACGTTAACGGGAAAGAAACAGCCAAAAATGAATATCGGCACCCCAACTTCACTTGGTAGGCTTCCATTCGTTAAAAGTGCTTTCATTTAGGATACCGTTTTAGCCCATCGTGCTACTGGCGGCGGCAGAGCGTACAGCTGGTAATAATTTGTCTGCTGGAATGCAGGAAGACTTTTTTAAGAAGCCATGTTCGTTCCTTCCACGAAAAGCTGAGCACGTCATCGCTTTCGATGGACCCCAATCCTTTCAGTAACATAAATGAGGCTGTTTAGCGACACACCCTGCCAAAAACCCTTCCTTCCCGTGTTTCCCGCGTCATGCTGCCGAACTACTGCTACTGTTCCATCACATAGCAGCGATTGGAAGGAGATGAGTCATCATTTGCCACTCAGTGCAGTCGGGCCCGCAGTTGTCAGGACTTGGACAACGCCCAGACGCCCAGTGCGTCAGGATCAGGTCGGCCAAAGGTACCATGGAGGCCAAAATATATTCACCAAAGCACCAAATGAGACCGAGATCAACGGGCAGTCAAGTCTCTTCATCACTGGGTGACCGAAATGACAAAAATACTGAGCAAGGCAAAAAAAAGAGCTCTTATCCGTCGGTCAAAGGCGTCACCTTCCGCCGAAAATTTGGGATTTTGTCGCCACGTCCACGCTTGCCGGCCCCGTCCGATCCGGCGCCAGCAAACAACAGGCCGCGCCTGTCTGGCGCCGGCGCCCCCACCGGTGACCACCGCCGGCCCAATGGCACGGCCTGGTAAAGGGTCTAACCCGCGCCCAGGGGTCAGTTAGGTCGTGCCCTGAGCTAGGCCCCGGCCGGGGCGGGTCCAGTGGCCGAGCTGGCGGCGACTGCTGCCGTTGACGACTGTAATCGGCGCCGATATATCCTTGGCACCTCGAGTTTGGCCCTTTCGCTCCACATCTCCGATAACGTTAGCGAACCTTTGACCCGGCGGCTCAATTTACTGGTCCCTTTCCACCCCTCAGAGCCCATGCTTAGGGGAGCGTCGACCAGGAAGTCGAACCAACAAGGCCACACCGGTGCAAGCAGCGGATGGTGTCCTGTGACATCGGGGCGACAGAGAGCACACGACCAATGTTCTGCAACCAGCACGGCGCCGCAGAGCACTCTAACGCACGTAAACAAATGACGTAAAGACAGACTCTTGGTATGCTCATTGCATTGTGATGTGGATATCTGACGCTCCAAGAGCCGTCGGTGTGACGTCACGCGCCGGACCTGGCGGCTTACCAAGACGAACGGGCACCCTCGTCGGAAACAGGCTGTGGGCTAGCGCCACCAGCTTTTGCGTCTCGACGTTTGCGTCCGACCATGCAAACTGAGGAAACAAAAAAAAAGCCGGGAAAATCCCACGGTAGTCTTACTGGGAGTTGACCAGGCAATGCGGTAGATATTAAAGTTACGTCGCACAGAAATTGTTACATGATAGGAGTCCATGCCCCAAATGTTGTACAGGATTCATAAAGAGCACTACTTGTAGAGCATCGCAAGTTCAAATTAATCCCAAACATTTATCAACCGGCGCCATATACTTTCACGCGGCTCAGCGCACCACAATTCCCATGTGGCGGCTTTCACAAGGGCAGCGAGTTTGCTCATGGCCTGTTCCCGCGGCAGAGTGACGCATATATCACTGTGCCGAGAAAGGCCCGCAAAGAGTTCAGCTGACCGCGGCGCTTCCTTAGCGCTGATGTCACCAGAGCCGCGCAGCATCAGGTCAGCCTGGCCAGTCTCAG